TCTGGCATTCGTAGGCGCCATTTCCAGGTATAACGGCCGTCAATTGGCTCTCAATCAACGTCGTGCAAGGTACGACGACGTTATCAAACCGTGACGTATTGAGAAGCATATTTGTTAAAACAGCGAATCGTGCTGTCTGGAGCAGTCTTTTCCACTAAGAAACATATCAGCAGCTATAAGTGAGCTTGCTTCATCACATTTGATGCTGTTTCAATATCTTCAGATGTGAAGCATTCCCTTTAAGTGGTGCGTACGAGCACTCTAGGTACGTGTCGACGACTACCTACGGCATTGCGGCAAGGGCACGCTGTTCGCTATACATATTAATTGGAAACGTTGGATGGTGGTGCCCGACCTACACATAGGACCAGTTAGACTCAGGGGTCCCCGATCGGCGTAAAGGCCCTCTGACTGTTATTTGAGGGCCCGTCCCCGCAGTCCGTGCCCTTGGATAAGACCAAGAGACCAGCGCACCTGGCCCAGCCCTTCGTGTCCCTAGACCCTTAGAATCGGGCACCTGGTTGTCGGATTCAGTGGGCTCTCTAGGCTTTCTGGGCCTCCTCGAACCCTGACCCTGCATGCGACCTCCGGCCTTTCAGGCTCTTCGGGCCATCAAATCGGGCCCTTAGGCGTAAATTCCGACCTTCGGGCTCCTCGAAGCGGTCCTCAGAACCTAATGGGGTAGAGGCGCGTGCCCCTGTGCCACCTGCACCTGCACTGCTGTACTGGAAGTGCCTTGAAAGCTTGGTTGCCCCATGGCTGAGCCTTGTGGAATTATTACAAGGTAAAGAAAAAAGCTGCAGCCAAAAGAAGAAAAAGAAGAGATACCAAATGATCAGGAGCGTATGTCGTAACTTTTTACCCATTTCAGCCAAGCGCGAATTGTTGGCGGGTCAAAGCCTATGATTTGATACGTCGCTGTAATGATAGCTGCACTCTTTTGCTACGCACATCCCACTAAGACCGCACGAGGAACCTCAACACAAGAACTTGATCACCGCGGAAAACAATCTCGAAGCCACGTCTGGCATCAAAACGTTTGTGTGCGGCTTATGCGTCGCCTATGGCACAAAGACTGTTGTTGGTGAGTTGCTCAGCTTGCTATTCTGGGACGACGGCGGTCGTGCGGCCTGATGGCGGCCGTCCAGGGAGCGTCAGTCCTCGAACAGTGGTGTGAACACGAACACTACATACTTCACATAACCATGCGCTTCCTGATAAACACTCAAGGCTTGGAACGGACCCAGCATCCATGTCTGAAAAGCCGTACTCCCATCACGCGCCGAGCGGGGCCGCGCGTCGGCGATCTTTCGCTTACCGACGCTCAGTCGGACTTCACCAGCTGGGAAGGACCACAAGCGGACTTATGCCGGCTGGGCAGGACCATCGACGGACATATACCGTCTAGGCGTGACCACGGATGGACTTATGCCGACTGGGCAGGACCACCAACGGACCTATACCGGCTGGACAGGACCACGGACGGACTTATACCGGCTGGACAGGACCACGGACGGACTTATACCGGCTGGGCAGGACCACGGACGGACTTATACCGGCTGGGCGGGACCGCGGACGGGCCTATACCGGCTGGGTAGGACCACGGACGGACTTATACCGGCTGGACAGGACCACGGACGGACTTATACCGGCTGGGCAGGACCACGGACAGACTTATACCGGCTGGGCGGGACCACGGACGGACTTATACCGGCTGGGCGGGACCGCGGACGGGCCTATACCGGCTGGGTAGGACCACAGACGGACTGAGCAGGACGGCGTTCGGTCTGTATGCACAAACGGCAGCGCCAAGGCGTTCGCCAATTGAATAATCACAGCAGGCTCATTTGAATGCTTGTGACGGCCTCACCGACGTGAGAAAATAAAGCGAAAACGAATCGCCGGAGTTTGTTTGCTGAGACTGTTTGCTGGGGCTGTTTTACTGTTTGATGTGTGACATGGTGCAGCTGCACACCTCGGTCACACCCTGCGCGACGTGGCGCAGTTGCACATCTAGGTCACACGCTGTGCGACATGGCGCAGTTGCACACCCCAGACACACAGTCCTGCTGCCAGATGAGCCTCTGGACGCATGGCCTGAACACGGCGGCCCAACAGCACGCCTACCAGGACAAACAAACAGCGGCGTGCAGTCAGGCAACTCTCCTTACAGCGCCGTTTGGCAGCACTGCTTGCTTACAAGGAACAATGGCGAGGGAGTACGGTCGGCGCTGAGTCAGGACTGGCATCTGGTACTGAACACGCGACCCGTGCCATACCCACGAGGGGCATGTAGGCACGGCTCGCTCGTTTCCTCTGTTGCTTTGGTAACAGAGATTGTGGTAGCAAGACGTTGGTTGGTTATGCTCTAGCTTATCTATCTTTCTGATAAACTCGCCGCAGAAAATTAGGTTGTTCGTCATGGGGAGGTAGAACGCGGATGCGCGACAATTAGGCTTGACCACGTAGTTTGGAGTAAGTTTGGAGTAAGACATCGTGCAGTTGGTCGACATTAGTGGTGACTATAAGGCATTGAATTTTACTTTGTCAGCTTTGTTTTATCCAATTTACTCAAAAGTAAATATCCCATCTCTCTAGCCCTAAAACGTTGGAATTTGCGCACGTTAAGTAAAATCTCAATACGCAGCTGGGGGGGGGGGGGGGGGGGGGGGGGGGGGTCTTTGCTGTGTGATTACAGAATGGTGGTAATGTGGCAAGGAAAATTTGTTTTCCGTCGTCCCAAAACTCTTACATATTGCGCACAGTCCAGCTGTCATTGACCATCCTAAGGTGACCGCAATCATGGTATCTGTGCTCAAGAATACTGACGACTAGAACATGGTGTCAGGTTCATGTGAAGATGCTCGATGCCCTGCTTCAGACAGTCTACTGTGCGCTGCTCTGCTGCTGATTGACACCTTGTGATTGGTCGACGGAAGATGGTACCCGGTCAGCTTCGAAGTAGATTGTGGGGCGGTTTAAAGCAATCCCTCAGGTCTACTGGGTGAAGCACAGTCCCGCACGTAAAGCTAAGATTTTTGAAACGGAGATTAAAAGTGTTAACCTTACACCGCCTGTATATCTATGCACACAAGTGTTATGCTTTTAGGAGCATTACAACGCGGCAGTTTTAGGCTGTCGTACATTTTGCGCTTGAGTTATTGTTCTACGATTCCGCACACCTGCTCCAGAGTCCCATGTCAGGCTATAATGAGAAACCACCCTAGTGTATCTGCTACTTATGAAGCCGACGTTTCCTAGCCCTGCTTTCTCATACCGGCGATACAGCCTTTATTGGGACCATCCACTCCTAATAAAGGCACTGTTCCTTGGTCCTGTCCCATCTCAATAGGCACACTGTCCCAGCCTGGGACGTGCTGTCCCATCATTGTCCCGTCTATCAGTGAGTCCATCTTTCAAGGACCCACCTGTTTTAGCGGAGTTTCTGATACCTGATACTGTCTATTTACGGCGAAATTCCCGTTCCCTGATCCCACTACCTCCGACTGACACGCTGTTCCCCATTCCGTCCTTTCCCACTGAAGTCCCTATCTTCCGGCCCCGTTCACTCCCAGGGGAGTTTCTGCTCCCTGATATTGTGTGCCCTCAGTAGAGGCTATATGCCTTGTTCACGCCTGTTCATGCAGTAGGGCACTGTTCTCCAGTTCAGTCTAATCGCTGTGCTTTGGTCATTAGTCCGGTCTGCTTTCATTGGCACGTCTTCCTATAAATGTCATTGCACCGGTCAGTTTTTCTCGTTTCCTCGTCACTTTACCACTGAATCTGATAGCTCATTTTCAGCCCCTTCCATCGACTTCCCGGTCAAGTGTGACCTTGACCTATGTCAGTGGACGTCACGCTCCCTGATTCGCCGAGTTGCGGGTTTTGCCTTCCATGGCCCCAGTGCTAGCTAGCTTCACTTTCCATGGTCCCGAGTTCCGGTGACAAAAGTCCTTGTGCCCCGTGTGACCACCGGGTTGTGTTGCTGGGCTCTAGGATTCATGGCTGATCCTCTCCTCTAACGATCGGTTTCGTGGATATTGTCGTTTTTCGTCAATGCACGTGCTCGGCGATCCGAGAGCCTCCACGACGCCGGCGACTTTCACAATTACTGGGTCGTGTGTAACCCCGGACAGCTACCTTAGTCGGCGCTAAAGTACACACTCTGCGTGGTCGGATGTCGAGCCCAGTCTGTCGATACGACACGCGGGCGAAGGCGTCACGTTAGCAATCTACACAGCGCTACCAATATATAATCCTCCTTCCCTCCTAATGAGCCATGATTTGCGGGCTGTGCGTGCTCTAGTGGGTCACAATAGTTCGGCTCTACGACATGGAATGAGCCGGCGACCATGCGGAACGGGCCGGCGGTGACAGCGCCTCCACGCCCCAGGCTTATCGTCAGCCGAACTATGCAAATGACGCCTTGTCCCGGGCGCGCTGACAAGCGCGGGCAAATGAAACGCTACTGCAGAATGCGCACTTGCGTGGTTTCTGACATAGGTGTGCAGGTCAGTGAAAATGACTGCCGTACAGGGAGCAATACACCAGCTGATTGCAGGCGACCTGGGCGTCTGTCGTGTTGCTTTGCCGAGATTGAAGGAAGGGTTTCATGCACTTAACTCATCTGTGCCCATGCTGTCTGTCCGACGCAATGCATCTCTAATTGGATCGCATTCACAGTTGGGCAAGGGGCGGAGAAAAGAGCACAAAAAAGGACATTCATCATTGCCGTGCCGAAAGACGTTTAGACAAGTTGAACAGATTTGTAGGGCGCGCTGGAAGTATGCACTTTCCCCAGCCAGTTGATTGTGGGTCGGCGGAATAACACCGAGCTTAGATCCAAAGCTCGTTAGCTGAGCGTGGGCGTGCCACACAGAGAGCAGCACAGTCGTGTAAGCACCACGCCCAACACAACCGCATTCCATAAACGGGTGGGGGAGGCGGAGCAGCCGATGGGCTGAGAGCGGGCTCAGGAGTCACACGACGGAAGTACTCACTGACGTAGCGGACGATGTAGAGGATGAAGGCGATGATGAAGATGTGGTGGTGTCCGCAGTAGTTTATGAGCGGCTCGGCCTTCAGCAGGAAGGGCACCAGCAGCAGGGCGCCGGCCACCAGGCTCAGGCCGTTCTGCAGTTGGGTGCCACCCAGGCCCTGCAGGTGGGCGTACAGGAACGCCTCGAGAAAGCCCCAGAGCGAGCCGAGCAGCAGCAGCACGCACAGCACGCTGAAGAACTCCAAGTTGCCGAGACTCTTGGCGAGCAGGCGTGAGTAGGAGCGGCCGCCCGGCGTCGGCGGCGGCTGCACTGGCAACACTGACGCAAGAATCACGCAGATCAACATCAGCGCGCAGAAGACGTAAAAGCTGGGCCGGAAGTCCAGGTAGTGGAAGAGCTTTCCGTGTACGTCGATCAGATAGCCGCAGAATGGCGCGAACGTCATGAGACCGAGCAGCCCCCCAGACGAACTCCCAGCCGAAGTCGGAGTCGTGTCGTCGGCGCAGCAGCAGCACGGTGGCGTTGATCAACACCAGCGCCAGCGGCAGGCACAGCTCGGTCAGCGCGCGCAGGCCGAAGTACAGCCAGAAGGTGAGCCGTCGGTCGCCGAGGTCCTCCGCGCACCGCTCTCCGGTGAAGAGCAGGTCCTGGGCGGTGAGCTGTCGCGGCTGGCAGCGCACGCCGCAGCCGGGCGGGCTGCGGCAGGCGAGGCCACGGTACCGCTCGCCGCGCGACATCAGGTCCACCAGCGGATACCAGCACTGGCGCAGCTCGGGCCGCGGCAGGACGCGCGGCAGCGACGCGTTCACCACCAGGCCGTCGCCGACGTCGGCCACCACCTCGCAGAAGGTGCTGTTGTCGGCTTCGAGGCAGAGGTGCGGCAGACCGGATGGCAGCGTCACCCCCGGCTCGCACTCGAACGAGCACCGCTCCAGGTAGTAGACGCGGAGCACATCGTCGCCCGGCTGGCAGGCGGCGCCGCACCACTCGCTAGCCACCGCACTGCCCTCGTCGTTGCAGTGGAAGGAGAGCGTCGGGCTGGGTCGCGACGCCGGCTCCCGCACGGCCGGCACCAGCATCAGGCAGGGGTAGGCGGCGGCGCAGACCAGCAGCGACGCCACCAGCAGTGGCCGGTAGCTGCCCCAGCGGTCGGCCAGCGCGCCGCCCAGCAATGGGCCAGCGCAGCCGACGAACGGCAGCACGAACTGCAGCCAGCTCAGCTCGTCGGCCGTCAGGCCCAGCGTCGACATGTGGAGCGTGACGAACGGCAGCACGCAGCTGATGCCTGCCGGCACAGCCGGGAGGCACGGTCACGAAGGGCGCCTGGTCGCGCTGTCAGGTTGGAGGCAGTTTGTGGCGGCATAGCGGGGCAGAGGTCACGGGGTGAGACTCGGAAATCTGTCCAAAGTTAATAGCATGACGCGGAAATTTGAATAGACCCGAGACTTTTCAGATTTAATCCAAGCCTTTCGAATGGATGAATTTCTGGTACCAGAGCTCATGTTAAGCAGTGCTTGTTGTGCGAGCCCTGATCCCTACCACCCGATCGAGCAATTCCAGGTCAATGGCAGAGTTTGATGGCGAAATTTGAAGGTGCCGCAATGCTCGGCACACGTCCGTCCTGCCCACAGACGTCACACACCTTTAGTGCGGGCCGCTGCCACCCGCCATAAGCCATATATGTGAACACAAATAGCGAGAGCCTAAAGCGACTCGAACCTAACCCGCCATGGGTGGCTCGGAAGGCACCCACTGAGTCATGGGGACGGACTTCAATTGAACACGGATATTTCAACTGGGCACAAGCTTCAAGAACACCCCGGGGTCTACCAACACAACCATTCAACTGGGGAGTTCGATCGCACACTGGGTTTCCGGCCACGTGGAATAGCAAATACGTAGGCACTCGAGACTTGATAGAGGAATGTGCGTGTGTGTATGCGTGCCGACGAATGGCAATCCCTTTCATTCATGCTAGCGTGCGTGTGCCTACGACCGTATTACGTGCACGCGCCGGCGTGTGCGTGGCGCGTAACATGGCTGTGGTTGCGTCGTCGGCGTTTCAGGGCGGGTAATTTTCCCATCGGAGCTCGTTGTGTTGATGGTGACTTATTGACAGCGGAGGCTGTCAGCTGATGAGGCTCGACTGGGCGCCCCGGCTCGCCGGCACGCCGCCCCTCACCTCCGTAGAGTAAGGCCCGACTGGACGCCCCGGCTCGCCGGCGCGCCGCCCCTCACCTCCATAGAATGAGGCCCGACTGGGCGCCCGGCTCGCCGGCACGCCGCCCCTCACCTCCGTAGAATGAGGCCTAACTGGGCGCCCGGCTCGCCGGCACGCCGCCCCTCACCTCCGTAGAATGAGGCCTAACTGGGCGCCCGGCTCGCCGGCACGCCGTCCCTCACCTCCGTAGAATAAGGCCCGATTGGGCGCCCGGCTTGCCGGCACGCCGTCCCTCACCTTCGTAGAATGAGGCCCGACTGGGCGCCCGGCTCGCCGGCACGCCGTCCCTTACCTCCGTAGAATGAGAAGAGCATCACCCGTAGCGGCAGCAGTGCTGTCCTGCAGATGGCCATGCTGAACTGTCCCGGGGCCGGGGTGGCGGCCGCGTGGCGAGCTGCCCCCTCTGGTCAGCGCCGGCCCCCGGGAGCGGCCAGCGTCGTTGGGCAGGTCACTGGCGAACTCGACACCTGTCCAGCAGCCGTCACTGGTGCTCACGCTCCGCGGTGTTCTTTCCCACGAGCGGTGCACTGAAGCCAAAGGACAGACAGTGCGTGAGCTAATCACAAACAGCTGTAGTGAGAAACAAGCCATCAGCAACACATAAACGGAGCATTTGTCAACGTGTGATAAGATAACGTCGTCATGCTAAATGTAATGGACTAACACAAAGCGTCAATAGCTCTTTGTGCCAGGTGCCAAGGTCATTAGAGTGACCATTCCGGTCTAAAAGAAAAGCGTGCGTCGTAATTCTAGGCGCGTTCCGGATTTTTCCCTCGGATAAGATGGAAAAGTTTTAAGCATTCTATACATCCTAGCGCTGCACATTCGGTTTCATTTCGACACTCAAATCTGCGGTAACATACATTCGAATTTTCTACATGATTGCTGGTAATTTTTACATGTGATGCTTCATATGTATGCATACCGAGCAAGGCGTCGACAACTTTTCAGTGGTGTTGCAGGTTGAGAGATACTGGGTCAAATATAAATAGAATTGCTGAAGGTGAGCACATGAACTCCGTCATTTTCTCAAAACAGGTATAAAATCCCAGTATGTGGACAGGAACCTACCGCATTTCATTCAAAATCTCAATAACTATTTTATGCTGCAAGACCTTTGATCTCAACGCTGCAATGCTCCTACGTGTTGCTGCCAAACATACCAAGGGAACCCGGACATTAAATGGAGTATCCCGCATTTGAAGATATCGAAGTAAGCATCAGATATGATGAAATAAGCTCACTTATAAACTATTGGTATCCTTTTAAGTGGAGCATGCTGCTCTAGACAACACAATTTCCCTGTGTAGTAAATAAGCTCGTCAATACCTTGCTCAACATTGATTGGGATCCAATGGGGCGGGCCGTGATATCTGGAAGTCGCACTCACGAAAGCCAGATATGAATAAATTGGCAGGATTTCAGTGACGTTATTATGACGTCATGGATGCCTTAGTGACCTTGAAATAGTCTATACTTATCAGCGGCCGTGTAGCTCAGAAACTAGAAGGTTTTAAGGAGGGCAGGGTTATGAACTGCACCGGATGGTCCTTAAGATGGTTATTTCAGTTCAAAACCCAATAGAAATGTGAAACACTTTCTTTAATGGTGTACTGGCATTGCGGTACGATGCCTTCTCTCTGGGACTTGAACGCGACTTCAGTAGGCCTTAAGCACCCCATCTTTTTCCTACGATTACAGGGAAGATCTAATTTAAATAGAAAATTAGATAATAGTATGATACAAAATTCCTAGCAGAACAAAAACTCATCATTGAGTACCTTGGTAACTGTTTTGTACTTTTCAATAAATACTTGACATGTCATGAGCGCTTTATGCTGATTTCGGTATTTCAATATCTACCGGATGAAAATTTTTGGTCACACATTCGAATGTTTGCATCAGAATGCTCAGCTCCATCCACTTAGTCCCCTAGATCAGTAGTCCCCGAGCTCGACCAACGTCTTGTTTACAACACCGATCTTCTTCACAGAATTCAAATGCTCGGTGAAATGCTCGAATCTTGTTCAAGGTCTGTATGCTCAGTTATATATAATGTATACCAACGTTTCGTTTGCGGTACTTTGACGAGGCTTGAGAGTGAACAAATATTCGAGACGTGCGCCATGCTAAACTGTCATTCGGAGGCAAAAATCGGGAGAAAATGCGGGCAGATTTTTTATTAATTTATCAGCACAGACGCGTAAGTGCGCTGGGATTGGGCGGAGAGAGCATAAATTAAAGTATGATGTAGATGCATCGCATTAAATGTAACTGCAGTTGCCCGGTGACTTAGACTTAGATAGACTAGAGCCCCGTCGCTGAGCAGTCTGACCCTATGGTTCGCTACATAATACCAAAAATATCACAGATATGCCAGCTACGAAAAATTTATTCCACATGTTTCATTCAGTTAGATTCAGCTCAAAAAGCTTTTGCTTCACAAATGAAAGTACTGAAGCAAGCATAAAATATAATGAAATGAGCCAACGGGCATATTTTTTTCGAAAACGCTGTTCTAGACGACACAAATTTTTGTTTGATAAACGTGCTCCTGAATACGTCATTGTTTGATTTCGCCATTGTACCTTGCATCACATCAATTAAGAGCCAGTTGACGGCCATTTCATTTGGAAATCGTGCTCACGAGCGCCAGATAAGAACGGCTTAGCAAATATATGTTTCGTGGCCTTGTTCGTCGCATGCCAAATAAACTGGGAGGATTTGAATGACGCTATTATAACTCATGGGCAGATGGGTGATCTTGAATAAGTCTCCCCGAAATAGTTTTCACATCTTCGCGTGCAAATAGCTCAGAAGTTAGAAGCGTTTAGGTCTTAAGAAGGGGCAGGGCTGTAAACTACACCGAATGGTCTTCAAGATGACTACTTAAGTTTAAAAGTCCATATAAGTGTGGAACACTCCCTCTAAGCATTCATTCATTTTTACCTTGTGCAAGTGCTGTGCGTGAAATATCGGTGTTTTGGCGAGGAGGAAGGGTGTAACATAGCAGAGGTGCCACCGGGCAAACCAACTAGAGCGGAATGTGCCTAATTTTATCCTTTTGCCACTGAAAGGTGCTCGTTCCGACGGCTTTGGCACATCAACTTTTCTCTTCATTCGGCACCCATGTGCGTATACCTGCATCGTCACTACAACTAATTGACCAATTTTTGCATTTGAGCTGAGAAAAAATGTCAGAGCTTATTGAATAATACGGTTCATTCAATATTTTTCACCCAAGCGC